ATGATATAATTAAGTGAAATTAATTATCCACTTACCAAAAAAATTGGAACTAAAAATTAAAGATATCCCCACCAAACCACGTAACCCTTCATCTTCTCAAACCCTCAATTGTTCGCCGTTTTCAAAATTCAATGGCAAAAACCAAAGCCAAAATCCATCATCCTCAACGAAACAATCCGGTGGATATTGGCGACGGTTCACCAGTTATTAGATCTAGTGCCCGACTCCGTAAAATCCTCCCAAAAAAACAACCGAAATTCGTTCAAAAAAAATTAATTTTCGATAAAATCTCTAACCCTAAGCCCAGTCGCCGCAGGATTTCCGACAAGGCAAAAATGAGAAAACATACTTCGTCTCCCGGTTCAGATGACTTCCAGTCTGACACAAACAAACCGAAAAAGTCTCGGCAAACACGTAAAGTGGAGAAGCCAACCCGAGTTTCAAGCGAAGAAGACCCTGAGTTCGAGTGTGTAAGCCAACTCGGAGAAAACGACAGTGAAGAAGATTTGGATGAGGAAGACTCTCCTGCTGAATTGTTGACGAAAAAAGAAAAGAAAAGGACAGCCAAAAAAAGGGACGAAGCCAACAAATTGAAGAAAAGAAAAATGGACAATATTGATGTCACCAAGTCCACTCGAGATTTTTAGAAAGGAATAAAATACAAGGTATTTGCCCCTAAAGCATCATTTTTTGAATCGATTTTTTTTTGCACAAGTTTGTATGTTAATTTGTATAGTCACTGATTCATCACCATTGAGTAACATTGGAGTATACATACTGTTATGTGGTTGTTCATTACAAATGTAGTATATTTTCTGTATATTCAACGTATATAACAATTTTATTGCTCAGATCTTGGACCTAAAATGCTCTGAACTTGGACCTAAAATGCTGAGTTTTTTTAGTGTAACAATTTTGCATACTGAGTTTTTTTTAGTATATTTCAAGTATATTGCTCAGAACTTGGACCTAATTATGTTTTTTTAGTATAACAATTTTACATACTGAGTTTTTTTTAGTATATTTCAAGTATATTGCTCAGAACTTGGACCTAAAATGCTTAGCTGAATGATAATTATGTTTTTCATAACAATTTTTTAGTATATTTCAAGTATATTTCAGGTTTATTGAAAAGAACTTTAACATAAAATTCTTATTCGAATAATAATTGTGTTGTTCATAACAATTTTTCATCTGAAGCATATGCAAGTTTATTTTCATTTATATGTTAGGTTTTAATACTGATTTTATTCCTTAGACTTTTTACTGCAGGGCATATGTTTAAGTATATTTCAAGTAGATTTGAACAGGACATTATAAATTGTAAAAGTATATATTTAAAGTATTTTCATTTTTACCTTAAAGTAAATTGAACAGGGCAGATTATGGCACATATTTATTGCAGGGTATATTGAACAGGGCATATATGTTGAAGGCTTTTTTTTTTGGTAATTTAATTGCATTTTATTCGAATATTTTTTTAGGAATGGCAATTGCTCATCCCGCACCCCAGGGACATAAATGTCAAGGTCCAAAACAGCAACGATAACAGCAAAGATCGATCCACGATCAACCATATCAAGAGGACTCTTACTACCGATCAATTGGAAGCATTCAGAAGATCACCATTTGGGAAGTTCCTTGATCTCCCTCATTGCATAGTACAGAACCAACTCATCAACCTTATACACTTACGCGAGGTTCATCAGAATAGGAGCGATGAGGTTTGGTTCGATTTTGGAGGCAAGTTACTTCGTTTCGGTATAGAGGAATTTGCTGTTATAACCGGATTGAAATGTGTTGGAAAAAGCAAAAAGCTGAACATTCTAAAGATCTCCGGTGGGCTACACGACAAGTTTTTTGATGGTGTAGAACTGAGACGTAACCACATCAGGTGGCAATTTCTTAAGAAAGCATGGTCCAATGATGAGAATGCGGTCAAATTTGCGAAGTTACACTTACTGGCAAATTTCTTGATGGGCTCACAAGAAGCCCTTTGCATTGATCGCTGCTACATTGACTTGATTGACAGTCCAGAGTGTGATGACCACGCTTGGGGAAAAGAAGTTTTTGATTTCACTCTTTACTATATGAAGAAGTCAATTCATACAAGAGAGCAAATGCACATTTATGAGAAGCCCGAGGGTGCTGGATATCTATACAGGTGTTATGGCCTTATCTTGGCTCTCCAGACGTGGTTCTACGAGGTTTGCGACACCGCTGAAGGTGTAATATGCACCTCTGTTGGTGACCATGATATACCGAGGATATTGAAATGGGAAGTTCGTGACAGTTACAGCCGCCTTTTTCTGCAGAGGACCTTCTTAAATCTACCCCACACCAAGGTAATTGTTGTTGTTTTGTTATTTTTATTGATTTCGTGTCGATAAGCATTTTTTGTAACAACCTTCCTTGTTAATGTGTATGATCGGAACTTAAACATCACTTGAACAGAACTTGAACAGATTGTATTTTTTTATCAGAACTTAAACAGATAGTATATTTCAAGTATATTGATCAGTAATTCAACAGAACTTGATTATTCCTTGTTAAGTATTTTCAAGTATTTTTCCTTGTTAATGTGTATGATCAGAACTTGAACATCCCTTGTTATGTATTTTTATTAGTAATTTTATTTTTTTCTAATTTTTTCCCTCCTT